TATCTGTGATCAAAGTTGCTAATTTGTGTCAAAGTGTCGATTTTTGTTTGTTTGTTTAGGTCAATTTTTGTTGTAACGGCTTTGTAGGTGTTGCTCCAAGTGACTACACTGTACCTGAAGAAGTCAAAGCTGCTGGCTTTGAGATTTGCGCTGACGAATTGGGATCAATTGTTGAGAGTCATGATGTTAAGAAGCTCAAGTTCCATGGTGGAGTTGATGGGCTTGCAGGTAAGCTCAAGGCTTCTCCTACAGATGGGCTCTCGACTGAGGCTGCTCAGTTATCCCAAAGGCAAGAGCTTTTCGGAATCAATAAGTTTGCAGAGAGCGAAATGCGTGGTTTCTGGGTGTTTGTTTGGGAAGCTCTTCAAGATATGACTCTTATGATTCTTGGTGTTTGCGCTTTCGTGTCTTTGATCGTTGGGATTGCTACTGAAGGATGGCCTAAAGGGTCACATGATGGTCTTGGCATTGTGGCTAGTATTCTCTTGGTTGTGTTTGTTACAGCTACTAGCGATTATCGTCAGTCTTTGCAGTTCCGTGATTTGGATAAGGAGAAGAAGAAGATCACTGTTCAGGTGACGAGGAATGGATTTAGACAGAAACTGTCGATATATGACTTGCTTCCCGGTGACATTGTTCATCTGGCAATTGGAGATCAGGTTCCTGCTGATGGTCTTTTCCTCTCGGGATTCTCCGTGGTGATAGATGAATCCAGTTTGACTGGCGAAAGTGAGCCTGTGATGGTGAATGCTCAGAATCCTTTCCTTATGTCTGGAACCAAAGTGCAAGATGGATCTTGTAAGATGATGATTACTACAGTTGGGATGAGGACTCAATGGGGAAAGCTAATGGCGACTTTGACTGAAGGAGGGGATGACGAAACTCCGTTGCAGGTGAAACTTAATGGAGTTGCTACCATCATTGGCAAAATCGGTCTTTTCTTTGCGATTGTTACTTTCGCGGTTTTGGTGCAAGGAATGTTTATGAGGAAGCTTTCAACGGGAACTCACTGGATCTGGTCTGGTGATGAAGCATTGGAGCTCTTGGAATACTTTGCTATTGCTGTGACAATCGTTGTGGTTGCGGTGCCTGAGGGATTACCTTTAGCTGTGACTCTTAGTCTTGCGTTTGCGATGAAGAAAATGATGAACGATAAAGCTCTTGTCCGACATTTAGCAGCATGTGAGACTATGGGATCTGCGACAACGATTTGCAGTGACAAGACTGGTACACTCACAACCAATCACATGACCGTTGTGAAGTCTTGCATTTGCATGAACGTGCAAGATGTAGCAAATAAAGGTTCTAGCTTGCAATCAGAAATCCCGGAATCTGCTGTGAAGTTGTTGATTCAGTCGATTTTCAATAACACGGGAGGCGAAGTTGTTGTCAACAAACATGGGAAAACCGAGCTTTTGGGGACGCCAACCGAGACTGCTATATTGGAGTTTGGGTTATCTCTGGGAGGTAAGTTTCAAGAAGAGAGGAAGTCTTACAAAGTGATCAAAGTTGAGCCTTTCAACTCCACAAAGAAGCGAATGGGAGTTGTAATCGAGCTTCCTGAGGGAGGAAGTGTGCGTGCTCACACAAAAGGAGCTTCCGAGATAGTTTTAGCTGCTTGTGATAAAGTTGTAAACTCGAGCGGTGAGGTTGTTCCACTTGATGAAGAATCAATCAAGTATCTGAATGTCACAATCAACGAGTTTGCTAATGAAGCTCTTCGAACTCTTTGCCTTGCTTATATGGATATTGAAGGCGGGTTTTCGCCGAATGATGCAATCCCGGCTTCTGGATTTACTTGCGTAGGGATTGTGGGGATCAAAGATCCTGTTCGTCCTGGAGTCAAAGAATCCGTTGAGCTTTGTCGTCGTGCTGGAATCACCGTGAGAATGGTTACAGGAGATAACATTAACACCGCGAAAGCAATTGCTAGAGAATGTGGGATTTTAACTGATGACGGTATTGCCATCGAAGGTCCCGTATTCAGAGAGAAGAATCAAGAAGAGTTACTAGAACTGATTCCAAAGATTCAGGTACTTACTGTTTCTTGAACTAAAGACTTCGATCTTTTTGTTTAGTTTTTGAAACATATTACAATACCTTTCCTCTCTTCTTATACAGGTGATGGCTCGTTCTTCGCCAATGGATAAACATACACTTGTGAAACAGTTAAGGACAACGTTTGATGAAGTTGTTGCTGTCACTGGAGATGGAACAAATGATGCACCTGCACTTCATGAAGCTGATATCGGACTAGCTATGGGAATTGCTGGAACTGAAGTGAGTATATAAGATTGTGTTATGTCATTAATGAGCTAAAGAATCTAAAAGTTTCTATCTTTATAACCTTTAAGGTGGCGAAAGAGAGCGCTGATGTCATCATTCTCGACGATAACTTCAGCACGATCGTCACAGTTGCTAAATGGGGACGTTCTGTTTACATAAACATCCAGAAATTCGTTCAGTTTCAGCTTACGGTTAATGTTGTTGCTCTGGTTGTTAACTTCTCTTCAGCTTGCTTAACCGGTGAGTGAGTAAGAATACCAATTCAATGTATCGAAAAGAATCATTTTGGATTTCTAATTTAACACAGCTCTTTATAATAATTTTCAGGAAGTGCTCCTTTAACTGCTGTTCAGTTGCTATGGGTGAACATGATCATGGACACACTTGGAGCTCTTGCTTTAGCTACAGAGCCACCAAATGACGAGCTGATGAAGCGTTTACCCGTTGGAAGGAGAGGGAATTTCATCACTAATGCGATGTGGAGGAACATTTTAGGACAAGCTGTTTATCAATTCATCGTCATTTGGATTCTCCAAGCCAAAGGGAAGTCTATGTTTGGTCTCGAAGGTCCTGACTCAACTCTCATGTTAAACACTCTTATCTTCAACTGCTTCGTCTTCTGTCAGGTAAAGAACAAAGAAAACACGATAACATTCCTCAAGCTAGAAAGATAAATTCTTGATTGATTCTTGACGTAACTTTGGTTCTGAAAATTCCAGGTGTTTAACGAGATAAGCTCGCGAGAGATGGAAGAGATCGATGTTTTCAAAGGAATACTGGACAATTACGTCTTTGTGGTTGTGATCGGTGCAACGGTTTTCTTTCAGATCATAATCATTGAGTTCTTGGGATCTTTTGCAAGCACAACACCACTCACATTGACCCAATGGATCTTCAGTATCGTCGTAGGTTTCTTGGGTATGCCAATCGCTGCAGGATTGAAGACGATTCCCGTTTGATCAATCCATCGAAATTGGCGCGAAACCTCTCTTTAAAGATCTCTATATTAGACCAGTTACTTCAAGTTTTAGAACGCACAAGTCTTCTAACAAAGTTTTTGCCTTTTGCAATGACTCTGTTTTTTGATCCTTGACTTTATTTTCAGTTTGATTAGGGCTATTAAGGACAAATATCTGATTTCTCCATTTTTGTAAAACTCTCTGTTTCTATCTTTGAAATGACACTTGTCTTTTTTTGGAATCTAATTTGGGTCTCTATTGAATGACAAATGCAAAACTACAGAAAAAGGACATTGGAAAAAACAGAGGAAGCAAAAGGTTAAAAGAAGAAAAATGATTATTTGGGTACAAAATTGTTAGCTAGCCAGACTGTAATTTGATATACTAAGAAAATCTCTCAATGAAGTCATGGCTTTTAGTGGGAGCCTCTTCTCCTGACATCATATCTTATCAGTCAAAACTGATTCCATATAACAATTCCAAAGCCTGTCAATCTCAAAACTGTAATAAATAAAAAAAAGTCTTTCTTTAATATAAAAAAAACAAATTTTTATTGTGATCAATTTAGGATCTCTATGAAGTAAAACCATTTTTGTAGATTGAAAAATGTGTATACTATAGTCATTTGCCTAAAATATAGCAGGTTCAGTCCCTTGTAGGCATATATAAGATAAAAATTTATTTGTGAACATAAGACCGTTGTTTTGATTTGTGATCGTGTGAAGAAATGTTCATAGAAATAAACGACTAATATCTTAAGTAAAAATAGTATTTACTCAAATATTAGTTATTTTGTGATCTTTCAATCTCACTAGTCATTAGTTTATTCATCTCCTAACCAAAGTTGTAACTAAATTGTGTTACTCGAGAATCTCAACATGTCTACACAAAACCCAACAGAAACAAAAATGTTTAACTCAATGATAATAAGAAAAATAAATAACAATCGGGACCCTACTAATATTCAATGAAAGATAGGCAACAGAAATTTCAGAAGCATTAACTAGTTCTTGGTGAAGTAAAGCTTGACCCTTTATGCTTCTTGATTTGTTGAATATCTCTTAGTCTTAGAGCAACAAACATTGGCCTTAAACCCCACACACACATATTATCTTTAATTATATTCTGTCAGTACTTTTTTGCTTCTTAATTTGTAAGATTTGTTTTTTTTTGTTTGTAATAAGTCTTTTAATTCGTTGCTAATCATTTTGATTTTGGAATTAAAGCTTTCATTAATGGAACCAAAACTTTGGATCCCCAAGTGTACAATTGTATGAGACAGTTGTTTCTCACTTAAACAAGTCGTTGGGTTTGTTTCTTCAGAGTCTTTTACACATATGTTTTTTTTCTTTTTCTCAACTGCATTTCATCGAAAATATTAACAATAATTCTACCGAAAAAAAAAAAAAAAAAACGATCTACCTCTATATGTACGAGTACGATGCTTTTTTGACTTGTGCGTAGAAAGGTACGGAAACTTAAAAACATCACATGCAGTTTTCTGTATAAATCAGGGTTTTTTATTTAGATCCAACCATTGATCCAAAGTACTTCCACAGCTCCACTACAAGTTGTTGGTTTCTATAATGCTATAAAAAGTTATTGGAGCAAAAATAAATATTTATTCATTTTAGGTTATTGTGATCGACTGATTGTCAATTGATAAAAAAGTATTATTTGGTTTCCTCGTTTTTTTAGCTAGTATAGTACATTAGATAAGTGACGGGGGGGAAAAAAGGTACATAAGATAAGTAAGGGATTTGTAAGATATTATTGATAACATGAAAAGATCACAAAGGAATTTGTGGGATTTACACAAAATTTTAAATAGCATACAGATGGATTCACTTTGGAGATGACCCAAAGTGAAAATAAATATATCAAATATAAAATAATTTTAGCTTACCCTAAAAAGAGTTTCTTCATTTATTATTTGCTGTGAATGAGCCCTTTTGAAAGTTAAAGGATGGAAAAAATGGACTTTCATGCAAAAAAAAAAAAAAAAAAAATGTAATATCACATGGAAAAAAAATGCAACATAACAAAGGAAAAAAAGACAATAAAAAATAAAAGAGGATGTGAAACCAAATCACTGGCACTGCAACTATTGGCCTAAAACTATTCACCCTTTCTGTTTTTCTTATTTATTTACATTCACTCCTCTTATTTCATTAATTCTCTCAAAAAAGCCCCTAATGTTTTGAAAGTCACATTTCACCCCAAAAGTAAAATCCAAAGACCTTCATAAGAAGAACCTATATGAGTTACTTCATAAAAATTGAAATAACCATTGTATTCAGACCATTTTTTTCTCTATAATCAAATGATTGAATATAAAAACCAAATCAATATGTTGCCAAAAAAGAAACCAAATCAATATAAGCCAAAACTTCAAGAAGAAAGTAACTCTCTTCAGAGCCTACGCGTTCTCTTGGCTGTAGGAGAAGTTTGATCAGGATCATCAAAAGACAATCGGCGTTTAGCGCCACTTCCTGAAGCCGGCGGTTCGCGGGAAACCGCTGTTTCGGGCGGCGGTGTCATATGTTTCCTCTCCTCAATCTCTAGCATTCTCTGATAACACAAATATACATTATCCTGCAAACACACACATTCCTAAGGTTATGATCGTCAACATCAAACAATCGAATCAATAAGAGGCAGAAGATTAATACATTTTCATTAGAAGTCCACCAAGAAATCGATTGAAACTTGTTCGCTATCTCTTCTCTCGTCAATCTAATATCCGATGAAGTAGAAGAAGCTAACATTGTAGTAACAGCAGCAACAACGAACTGTCGATAATCCGTAAAACTTATCTCTACATCAAAAAAAAAGGAAACAAAAATGTGACATCAATAAATGCTTGAAAGAATATGATCTTGACAAAAATGTGGGAGTGATAGATTAAAGATCTCTTTCTTATTAGAGTTTACCTTTAGTTAGAGCAAGAAGAGAATCAGAGGATCTTAACAAAACCAACTCTTTAGAAACAGAATGGTCGGGAGAGGTTTTAGTAACGAAGTAGTTCAAGTAATGAAAAGGAGTGATTAAGTTCATTTTCCAATCCAATGTCGATAGAACCAGCAATTCAGTTTTACGAATGACATCGGGTTTGAAAACGAAATCATGATCTTGAGGGTATTGTGATAATCCAGGAACAATTCGTTCCTCCATTTTCGCAGCTAATGATAAACAAGCTACTGATAACAATCGAATCGCCCATGTTTCATCTCTCTGCAACTAAAAAAAGAAACCATCTTTGTAATCTGAAGAAAAAAGGAAATTGGAAATTGGAAGTAATCAACACTTACACCGATGAATCTTCTCTGGAGAAACAGATCCAAGTATGAGATTGCAATGTAAGCTGTTTGATGTTGGAATCCAAATCTTGTTCTTGTCTGAAAAAAGGAACCAATCAATCAAAGAAGTGAGATTAAGACAACGTTAACGAATCCAATGAATCATCATCAAAAAAAAAAGGGATCTTTTTGTTTTACGGACAGTGAGAATCCAATCGATTGCAATCAATCTATCGACAGACGACGTCGTTTTAGTGGGTTCGGTTTCGAATCTCCGATTCTCTTTAAGAACAAGCTCTGCCACATAATCTTCATCATCACCGATCGTAGTAGCAAAGTGCTCCTCAGATCTCTCGATTCTTTCGTCGTCTTCGTTTAGAGAAGACTCGGATTCGTGGCAGAGAAAGAGAGCGAGACTGTCACTGGGCTCACCCATTTAACGGCGGCGGCGGAGATAGAACAAGTCTTCTTCGGTGGTGTGTCCGTACACATCAAAGGGAATTATAAAAGTTTTGTAAGAGAGAGTGTTTTTTTTTTAATAATCTGAGGCTAAAGTATCTCGGAGTGAATTTAGGGAGTAAGGAGCTAAATCTTCGTATTTGATTTTTCTTCCATTACTCGATTTGGGATTTTAGAGTAAGTGACGAAAAAACAAAGAAAAAAAGAGAGAGAGAGAGAGAGAGAGAGAGAGAGAGAAAGAGAAAGAGAGAGAGTGGGAGAGAGAGAGAGAGAGAGTCTCCCGCGTCTGGTGCCGCCAAAAATAAGTGGGGGAGAGAGAGGGGGCGTTATTTAGCGGTTACATTTTCATTTAAATCTTTATTATTCTTTTTTAATCTGCGTTTTATTTGTTCATTAATGTTGATTGTTGTATATATGTATAATCAATTAATCAGTTAATCACTTTCTTTTTTTTTGGGTCGACAAATTATCGCATATTTTAAAGGAATGATTACTCGTTTTTTTTTTTAATTTCCAGCAGGATTACTTGTGTTTGAAGACTTTTTGATGCTAGTCAATTATGATTTCTTTTTGTAATAACATTTTTTTATTTATCTAATATTATTATTGTATTTTTGAAAAAGTTTGCGTTATTTCCATTAAAATGTACTGTGTTATGTTGATTATTTAAGTTAAACAAATTTATTCAAAAAACTTTTTTTAATTTCAGAGTTGTCCATGATAATGTAAACTTTAATAAAGAATATGTTATTAATAGAAATAAATACTTGATGCAGGAATGGAGAGCGTTAAAAACTGTTGTGGCTATCTTAAATATATGTCAAATGAGATTTACACGTATTAATAACTTTCATAGAGAAGATATCATTGTTTTTTTACCCGTCTAACTTGATCACACTCTTATAGACTTCTTACATGAACAAAGTTCACAAATCCTCTTAGGAATGTTATCATCGAACTTTATCAACTGCAAGTTATATAAAACAACTCTATAAATACCTTTCAATCCCAAATGATAGGATATAAAGATTTCCCAAAACGAAAGTTTATCTAAACTAGTTAAAACATAAAAAAAATTATCGGTGTTTTTAAAATTTTAAAGGTTGGAATGCTTTCGGAAACAAATTTTTGTTTTTCTATTTATTTGTTGTTCTCTAATTTTTTCGGTCTCTGAGACAAGATTTATAGGATCCCTTGAATTTGTATTAATCATGGAGTAGTTAACAAAGAATAATGATCCCATTGAAATTTTGTGCAGAAAGTTACATCATCCCATTCCAAATAAAACGTTCTAATTGACATTTTTCATTAGTGTATTCCACGTACTCCCCTTCGTTGCTTTTGTGGTAACTTCTATTTTAAGAGGTTTGAATTAAAATGTACTTTATTCAAAATAGAATTGTGAACAGAAAACAGAGGAATAGCTAGTTTAATTATTTCCCACTTTTTGACTTCAATTAAATTCAGACCTAGAATTTCATCTTCAATGGAAGAAAATAGAGTTCAAAAGATGATCTTATATTTGGTTCAGAAAGTGAAAGTGATTAACAATAAGTTTTTTTGTTTCTAGGAATATAATTGATGGGGAAAAACACCATACCATTCCCACTAAAATAAATCCTTTCAACTTTTTTAATTTAGTGTTATATCATTATTTTTGTTTATTCATATACAAATTTTCCTATACTTTTTTATTGCTATTATCATTCAATTTTTCTTCTCTGTAAAACTTTTTGTTTCCTCACTTTTTATAGTTATATTCACGGTAACGAGTAATAACTTCTATATTAGGTGAGCTAGTGCCTAGTAGTAGTATGACTCATGTAGTAGATGTTCCGAGACACGAAGTTTGTGTATGCAAATTTATACAGTACGTAGATATACGTTTGTAAATACACATAGATCGTAGGTAGAAATATATGTATGAGTATATTTATTGTAAAAATAGGTAGGTCTCTCGTTAGCGGGTTCCAAAATCTTATTATGAGTTTGGAGATTTTGGTACCCTTTAAGTTTTGACGTGTACAAGAAATTGAAGGCAGAATCCAATGTATCGTTGATTTTTTTTTTTTTTTTTATCATCGTAACCATCCGAAATTATTATGAATTTAGTGGAAACATAAATAACTGATTATCCAATTGAATAAAGTGGAATTACACTATACAATATCTCTGATGTTAAGAAAAAAAGAATCATACTTTACTAATTGGGATTATTGTTTAAAATGCCCTTTTTTGGGAAAAACTTATGAAAATGCCCTTTTTTGGGAAAAACTTATGAAAATGCCCTTTTTTAATGCATAAACTATTCAAAAAAGGGCAAAATCCACAAATGCCCTTATGAAAAAGGACAAAATCCGTAATTTATTCTTACTAATTTCTACAACTATAATTTTAGTCTTGAATAAACTTAAAATAAAATTAATATTTGTTTATCCATCCGCAAATGAGGCTCCCATCTTTATATTCCTAGAAACAAAAAAACTTATTGTTAATCACTTTTTGACATACTCCCTCCGTTTCGTTTTAGTTGTCGTTTTAGGACTTAAATTTTGTTTCGTAATAATTGTTGTTTTAGGTTTTCAATGCAAAAGTTTAGTAAAAATTTCAGTATTATCCTTATTGTTTTAATGTTTTGGCCAATGATAAAATTTATAAGATCTATTAATAAAGGGTAAAACAAAAAATTTAATGTTTTTCTTAATTTATGTGAAAAAACCTTAAACGACAACTAAAACGAAACGGAATGAGTACAATATAAATTTCCCTTCCTCGTTTATTTATTTATTATAAATACTTATATATTGGCGCATGGCTTTGGAGCCGAGTCATTCAATATATAGGATAATTAATTTTCCTGTTATAGTATTAATATTTATAAGACTAGCTGTAAGAAAAGGGTATAAAACCAAGAAGACGCAAGATCCAAAATCTGCAACTTTTATGTGTATGTTAGTGAAGTATCAGCAGCATTTGTTCGATCTCCTCCCTAGATACAAGTAATATTCTCACATTACGTATTTTATAGATTATTTTTGTATTTCCTTTTTAACTTCTGACTTGTATTATTGTGCATTTCTATGTGTATATATACACAAAGATTACATTATGTTACAAATATTTTCTGAGATGCTTGTATATATGTAGTCAAAAAGAGGGACCGATTATTTCCCAATAACTTGAAAAATGCATTTTAATCATTTTTGTATTTAGAAGTTGTGATCAGCAGTTTCCAAGATTGACCGGAGTAAAAACTTATAAATAAGACAGAAGAAAAAAAAAAATTTTAAAAAAAGATTGACCAAAGTTATTAACGATGATGATGAATTTGCAGGATATTTTTTATCACTTCTAAACAATTTTGGGTCGATAGGCCAACTCGCTTGGTGAATTTTTGTGTCGATTTTTTTTTCCGGTGAAACAAGGTCATTTTTGTTTTATTGTGCATTTCTTTTCTATGATTGTCTTCCCTTGTTGATAAGGAATCAACGACTTGTGGTCTATTTCACACATTTAATAAAAGTTACTATTTTGTGGAAAATAAAATGTAGTGTGTTGGTAATTCTCACATTACATATATCAAATGAGATAAAAGTAAATGCTCCGATTTGAACATAGTGAACTCTTGAAAAATAAAAAAAAAATAAAAGAGTTAGTAACCAAATATAATTTGATCACATTTTTAATTTTAATGAACTAACAAATCTAGCTAGGATACCTAACACGTTACACACATTATTTTCCAATCTACTTATGATTCCTTTCGAGGTGTGTATGTAGTCCATTCAAAACTCTAGCAAAAACAAAGAAACTCGGTCCCTCTATTTCCACAAGAAGGTCTCTATGGACAAAAATGACATAACACTATCAAATATCAATAGAATGATACATGGAAGAAATATGATATGATATGATATAAAAATTGATGGTGGAATGATGGCGCACGTGACAATAACTACAGTAGAGGAGCGTCGGTCACGTGCGAAAGGCTGGATTGCCTCAGAAACGAAGAAGAAGAAGACGCTCCACCACTGCCTAACTAGTAACAACAATCCAAAAAACTATATGATTTATATAAATTATGATATCATGTCACTACCAGATAAGTTTCCCATAAGAGTAAAAAAGGTTTTAAAATAAATAATTACAGTGACGATATAGTCTGTGCCATGTGTTGAATTTCTTTGGGGCTTGGTGCCCATCTAAGTGGAACCTTTGACTGTGTGAAGTTTTTTTACGATTCCAAGACAGTCAAACTTTGACCAAATATTTCTATTTACGTGTGTCCGATTTATAACTTTGGTTACAGCTAGGAATTTGGATAAGTAATTTTTTTTTTTTTTTTCCGAATAATGTTTGATGTGTAACAGACTAACAAGTGGTAGGTGGGAAGCATCATGGTTTTAACGAGAGAATATAAAACTCTATGAATATGTTTTATTGTTTTTGTTTATTTTGGAAATTTTAGTATTGGTTTTAAAAAACTTGATAAAATATCTGTTTCCATTCATTTTCTTTAAACTACTAGTAAAAAAAAAAAAACTACTAATAATATTTTCTCTTGGTGATACTTCATGCTATATCATAAGCAAATATAATTAGGAAAAATTAGATCTTGAAAATCATTAGACTTAAATTGCTACTATCATTAAATGTGAATGCATCAATTTGTAATGAAGATATATAGAAGAAAAAAACTACAGAATATAATTTGTAATGACAACATATAAAAGTGATATATATATATATATATATGTATTGATTTATGTTTTAAAATATTTTTATAAACTACTTTTTTTTTCATCATATTTTTATAAACTAATTTAAACAAGTGTTTCTTGCCCAAACATATAAATGGTTAGTGTCTCTGTCTCCCTCAAAAGATCTCTTCTACAGTATAAAAATAAAAAAAAACTTTCCCAAATAGTCATAACTCTTACGATTATTGATAAAATGTATTCAAAAATGGTTCGTTGAAGGAATAGAGTACAACAAAATTATCAGCCACCTAACTCTTACGATTCATATCCGTTGTGTTAGTTGTGTACTGTTTGCAATTTACATTAACCATTAATGTTATCGACAACATTTTCATGTTTGATTCACTAAGCTGAGTAGTAATAGTAAAAAAAAGTACATCACAGCTTATCCGAACTTATTAAAAGAAGTCTTGAAACTCGTGTGAACTCTAGTTCACGCTTTAGAGTCACCAGCCCACTTCTACAATGAAACTGCTCATTTAATTGTTACACATACCATTTTTTTTTTATCTCATCTAACTTGTTTGAAGGAAACATTATATGTATATATATATGCCATTGAATTATAACAGCTAACAAGAAAAACGCAAATAGTTCGTGCTTGTTGTGTTGTGTAATTGATTAGAATATTTATTAGATGAAGAAGACAAGAAAGCAATTCCCATTTCGTCACAAACAACAACAAGAGGCTTTGCCATATACTATTTATTACATTTTCTTCGAATTGCTACACATACACATACAAGAGGCTTTGCCATATACTATTTATTTGTAATAAAATAAATAGTGTTAACATTGCGGGTGACTAATAATGGGCCCAAAACTAATGGTAATGTGAGACCCATCAATATCGAAGCGTTTCTACAGGCCCATTAATGTATGAGTGACCCATTTGTAAGTGATAGCTAAACTAGTAAAGGTAGCTGATCTACTAATTAAGGTCCATGCTATAACAATCTCTTTTTCTTTATCAATCAATGCTAAGATTGTCCTCATTGAGTCATTGTTACTCCAAAATATACGAACAAAAAAGTGTATCCAATTCATTGATTTTCTACAACGACAACTCCACAAGTGTTGATTTGATGATATATAAATTAGCTAAACAATGAATAGAATGCCAGTTGTTTAATAGACCACGTTGAACATAACACATTTTTAAATCAAAACACAATAAATTTGTTGATTTAAAACATATATTTGATTTTTATTTATTTCATTGGAATAAATTAGTTTTTAGTGATGAAACTGTTAAAGGCCTGATTTTTTGTTTTTCGTTATACTTTTCCCTTATTTGACATATTAGCAATCGTAAGAGAGAAAGTGTCCCATGAACTACATGAAGAGGTCAGCGTGAGCGTGCCAGCAACTTAAGACATTCGTGACCAAGTAATCTATCAAAATAGCTCTATTATTTTTTTGGGGCTGAGTCAGCGAGTAATAATTTCGTTATTAAATTACCGCTTTCTCGTTTGTTTAATCATACTTTTCGTAATACTATATGGTTAAATTGTTAAGTTGTCGCAAAAAGGCAATGTGACGTTTGTACACAACATAATCGAACAAATGAAACAAAAAGGTATTACCATAACCTATTATTACCTATCACAATCTTACCTAATGTTTGTCGGTCTTTGAAATGGTTCAAAATTTATATGACTAATAATAAGTTTATTTTTGGTATTCTTTTTTTTTTTTTTTTTTAAACTATTTTCTTGACCAAATATTCAAACTAATCACATGATTTAGTCTTGAACAAAATACAATATATCTTAACTTGGATGTAGATATTATGTTGTGATAAATTTATGAAAACGAAACCATTAAATCATTACATGATCATTTCATGATAAGAATATAAACATAGTCGAGCTCAACATTTATTTAGCTGACTCCTTCTGTTATTAGTAGGATATGTGTTTTATACACATAGTACATGACTAGGATCTGACACTTTTGGAATTATAAACTATGTCTAATTTATTTTCCTTGAAAAATAATTTAGGGTTATTTAATTGCGCTGACATCTAACATGGTATATTAATTTGAACGGTTCAATTCACACATGTATAATATTCTAATTAAATGGAAGAGACTTTTATATTAACCAATATCAACAACGTATTATCCACAATGCAACATTATTATCCTGCTTTTTGCCATCTTTTGCGAACCGCTTGGACCGTACACCAACCCCAAAATATGGTGGTTCAAATACGGTTTGCATTGTATTTTTTGTTGATTTTCTAAACAATGTGTGGATTAATTTTAACTAGTATACAATTATATCTAAAAAACTATTTTAAGTATTAAAAAAAATTATTATTATTTTTCTTTTTTTTTGACAAAAAAAAAGTATTAAAAAAATTACTCAAAATTGGAAAACTATTTTATCCATACCAAATTTATTAGTATAATTCAATTTTTATTTTATTTATTTCGATTATTCTATCCATAATATACTAACCATAACACTTACCTTGTTTGTTTATCCGATTTACTTTAAATTTACACCGTCCAAACCATTTATCCAGCCACATCTTAAAAAAAATAATTTTATCTAAAAGTGTGTACCTTTTCCAAATACGTCGTCGCCAACAACTATACATGGATAATTAAATAAAATAACAGAACATTTGGATAGAGGTCAAAATTTGACTATTATTTTTTTTTTCCATTTTTTAGTTGTTTATAGACTTGGATATAATGTGAACAAAGTAGGAAAAAACTAAAATTGGATAGAATAAAAAAGTGAGTGATTAGGAAAGTTCGTCCGACGTGTATATGAATCAGCAAAACACTTATCATGATCCTCTCTGTGGGTCCCATTTCGACGTGTTTACACAGTTCACATTTACGATTTTCCAATAAATCTTAAATGTTTTTTTTTTTTGCTAATCATTTAATTAATTTTAATCAGACAATATAAATAGCAGTGTTCAAGAAAGCGCTAGGCGCTAAGCGGGCGGTGACCCAGTGCCTAGCGCCTAGAACGCCTAATCGGAGCCTAGGCGATTTTTTAGGCGGTTTAGACGTTTATAACATAAAACATTATAAATATGATATTATATATAAAAGTTATATAAAATATTTATATAAAACTAAAAATTATGAAATTATAAACAAAAACTAAATAAAACATTTATTTATATTTATATTAAACAATATATGAATATTTATAACTATATATATAAATAAAACTCTAATTGAAATTGAAAAAATACATTAAACAAGTTCTATGTAATTTTAGGCGGTCAAGGCGGTTATCTAGGCGTCGCATGAGAGCCTAGCGCCTAGTCGGGGCCTAGGCGACCGCCTAGACCGCTTTTTAGAACACTGATAAATAGTCTCCCGCTCGCTTGCTCTGTTCTTTTTCTTATTTTCCTTTCTTGAAAAACAACAACACAGCTCATTTTCTCCGCAGTTTCGTTTTATCTTCTCGAGAAAATTTCCATTTTTGCATCAGAAGAAAATCTTATCACCAGAGGATAATAATAATCAGAACAATCATAGTTTTAGTGGTGATCTCTGCAAGTGAAAGTTGAACAAATTTATAAACTGATCAATATTCGAATTCAATTCAAAAATCTGTAAGTCCTGAATATATATTTTCGTGTTTTTTTTCTCTTTCCCAAAGATCTATGAAATCGAAACTCTCAATATTTTGGAGTTTTTTAAATACGTTTCTCTAGAATTTTCATTCAGATTTTATAGAACAAACGATTCTGAATCTGATTTTTTTCTTTGACTTGTTACAGAAGACAAAAAAAAAGAATGGAGAACATTGACGATTTCTCACCGGAAAAAGTCTCAGGACCACCAGCACCACCAACACCTCCTCCGGTAAAATCAATGGATCTGTTTATGCAAAGAAGCAATAGTTTTGTTTCTAAAGCTACAAGAGATTCATGGGATCGTATGTTTGATGGAGCTCATGGAGCTGATGTTTTGATTCATACTGATCATAATGGTTTGATTTACGCGCATTCTAATGTCATCGTAAGTTCTCTAAACGATATACTCAAATACTCGGAAAATCAGTTACTAGTTATATTGAATCTTAATAAGTTTATCTGTTAATCTTTAATTAGGGAATGGCTTCAGATGTAATCAGAGGAATGATGAAGCAAGATAAGAGAAAATCTCATCGTAAATCGATTTCAATCCTCGGTGTCCCTCACGATGCTGTTCGAGTTTTCATTCGATTCTTATACTCTTCTTGGTTAGTAGCTAAGTTCTTAACAAAAAAAAAATGTGGATTTTATAAGTCTTTGGCTATAAACATACTTAACGTTTTGTTTCTTGCTCTGTTTGTGTAGCTATGAGAAACAAGATATGGAAGATTTTGCAATGCATCTTCTTGTGCTATCACATGTCTACGTGGTTCCGCATTTGAAACGAGTGTGCGAATCAGAATTCGAAAACATTTTGCTCAACAAAGAGAATGTGATTGATGTGTTTCAGCTAGCTCTTCTCTGTGATGCTCCTCGTCTCGGTCTTCTCTGTCACAGAATGATTCTAAAGAACTTTGAAGAAGTTTCTACTTCTGAAGGATGGCAAGCAATGAAAGAGAGCCATCCTAGACTTCAAAAGGAGCTTTTACGCTCTGTCGCTTACGAGCTTAATGTAATTATACCTAATCTTTGCAACTTTCTTTACCCTAAAAGATAAAGGCCTTTGTACTTAGACAATTTTCTGATGATTTTTGTTTCAATTTTTGTCTTTTGCAGAGCTTGAAGCAAAGAAACAGGAAACAGAAAGAGATACAGACATACACACAGCTATATGAAGCAATGGAAGCTTTTGTTCATATTTGTAGAGATGGATGCAGAGAAATAGGTCCAACAAAGACCGAAACCCCGCATGTCTCGTGTGGATTTCAAGCGTGCAACGGTTTAGAGCAGCTATTGAAACATTTGGCGGGATGCAAACTAAGATCAATCCCTGGTGGTTGCAGCCGTTGCAAGAGAATGTGGCAGCTTCTTGAGCTTCATTCACGTATTTGTGTAGACTCGGAACAATGTAAAGTCCCTCTTTGCAGTAGTTTGAAGGAGAGGATGAAGACACAAAGCAGGAAAGATGAGAAAAGATGGAAACTTTTAGTGAAGAATCTTTTGAGCACCAAGAGAATTGGAGGATCGCCATTCTTTTTGCAGGCTATTGATGTTACTTTATGACATTATATTATCGCTTTTAGATATAGAGATTGCATATTTATACATTGTACATAGGTTGCAGATTCTTTGTAAAGATAGATCCGAGGTTCAAAATTTCAATGTAAAGCAACCTCTCTTCCAAACCTAAGATCCAATCTTTGGCCCATTCAATCACGGCCCATCAATCCCGGCCCAAAACCGGCCCGGTGTATCTGATTAGGGGGATTATAGAAAGTGAGCTCTTCAATGTTCTTCATCATCAGTAGTTACAGTTGATTGAGATGAAGCTTCAATTGTTTCGCTTCCCTCCAACACATTTTGAGTTTCCTCCATTTTCTGCAAAACCAAGCTCGCTTATAAGCACAATGAGAAGAATATGGGCATGTAAATATCTCAGGCCGCATCCGATCGGAGAAGAGAATAAATCAAAGCAAGACCTACAGATACTGAACCACACAGAGCCGGCCCATGGCACAGGCCCATGAGGCAGTGGCTTGTGGCCTCAAATATTATAGTTAATTTGCGGCCCCATATTTCTGAGAAGTTCCTTTAGTCTAGTGGTCTGCTCTCATGTGTATAATGTCCCATGTCTCGGGTTCAAGCCTTGGTAATAGCTTTTTTTTTTTTTTTTTTTTTTCCGTTTTTTAGAAATAAAACGAAAAATAATATTAAAAAGCTTTGTGATAAAAAATAAAACGAAATTTAATTTACTTAAACAAAAATTATAAAACAAATATTAATCAAAAAAAGCAATAAACCTTAAAACCTAATTAAGACGTCGTTTGCTCTTCTTCTTCCTCCTTGGTCTTGCAAATTTGCAATCGTGAATCGTTCTTCCCTTCGACCTCATCAATCTCCATCAAAGCAACAATATCAGATTCATCTTTCTCTTTTTTTCACTTTGCTCAGACTTGAGTTTTGAATCAATTCAGGTTTGTCAATTGATTTTTTATATGCGTTTAAACATTAGACAAACAACTTTCTCTCTACGACTCTATCTCTTCCTTGTACAGAAAGTCATACTAACTATTGATTTGTTCAATGATTGCAGGAAGATGACTTCGAATCGAATAAGACACTAGCCAGGAGGAGCATCAAAAGTAAGAAAAAAGAAGAGACAAGAGAAATTAACAAAATCAATGGAAAACTCGATGTTGAGGTATGTAAAAAAATCTGAAACTTCTAAAACTGATGAGCCTTTAGAAAAAGAGATCAATATGAGTAGTGAAGAAGCTGGTATTTCAGAAACTTGTGAAGATGAAATTGGTGAACATGGTGATGAACACGAGTGTGGAGAGAAAAAGAATGAGAATGCGAATGAGAGTGATATGGAGATTGAAACTGAGATTGAGAGTGATAATGGGAATGATGAGAAACTTGATTATAAAAGCTTGATGAATGAGTTTGCAGGAAGAAATGCATTGAGAATTGTTAGATTTGAAGAATAATATGCTTTTTTTTTTAATATAAATATGAGGCAGCCTTTTTTTTTCCTTTGATTGTGGCCCTCATAAACGTTGAGCCGGCTCTGGAACCACACACGGTCTTTTAGGTTCTCGAAAATCCTATCGTTAACCGAACAATCTTTTCAAGGAAAGAGGATACCTTTTGATTTAAAGTATGAGTGTTCATTAGCTCATAGAGTTTACGCATCATCGTCTCATGTTCAACCTGAAACAAAAGATAAAATCACAGGTCTTAAATTACACATCACAAGCACATTAAAAGAGTTTCTTTATTCATAATACCTCGAGTTTTTGGAGTTCTTGCAACATGGTCTGATGAGCTTCTTTGAGTAATTCCTTCTGTTTCTCCAAATGCCTTTTTGACAATCAAAAACGATTTAGGTTAACAACAGGTAACTACTAAGTATACAGATTGTGGGTGACAAAGAAGCTAAAAATTTCATAAATGAGAATTACTTTAACACATCATCGGTATGCTGCGGTTCCATCCTCACAAATATTGAGTTTTCTTGCAAATGAGAACGTTGTTGTTCTTGACCTCGTGATCGTTTAGGTATTCTACGGAATTAAATAGAAAGTAAATCCGATCAGCAACACAAATAACTCCAGTATAACTAAAATCTCCCAAACAAAATAGTTTCATTCAACTAAACAAGATCATACTCCACATTGAAATTATCTGATATGGGCATAATCAGACATACAGGTAGATCATAGATTCAAAATGGATTCAAATTCACTGCTTAACTCTACAAACCAAGGTGTTAAACAATAATCAGATAACACACTTCAAAAAGAAGACTCTTTTACTGCCACAAAAAAACGCATCTCTTGATGAATCTCAAAGGACGGAAAAACATAGAGATGGGAAGATTAAAGAACACAGAGAAAAATCCAAATAGTAAGTGAACAAGAACGACAGGACACGAAAGTTTTTTGTTTCGGAAAAAAAGCAAAAAAAAAAAGCGGTTCTAGGAAAAGGAACACCTGACTTAGACAATTCATCGAGCACTTAGTGCGCAAAACCTAAAACCTCTCTTCAATCACAATCTACCAATATCAACAATACCTTGCAATAAAAATAAACAAACCCACTAAAACTCTAATCGCAATTCACGATTTTATCACCCTCAAAGACCGAATTTAGAACCCTAATTATCGGAGAATAAAGCTTGTAAATTGGATCGGAGAATCTTTACCTGAAAAGAAAAGATATTTCAGGATCGATGTAGATTGGTAGAAGAATCGCTGTTCACGAGAGCGAAATTACGCGAAGAAGATCGATTCGGAGATTTCACTTTTTTTTTCTATTTTATCGATTTTGAGAAAAGGAAAATTACCTCTTTTTATACCTCTCGCTCTCCTGTCCATTGCCGCCAAGAAGCAAAACCTCTGTCAGGGCCAGAAGATTCCTCCTCTTATGTTTTTTTTTTCGATTTTATCAAAAATTTTAAATATTTAAAATAACAAAATAATATGTTTTGCCTAAAACTAAAATCACAATAGTAATATATTGACAATATGTATAATATAGATTCGTCAAATTTAATTTAATTTAATTTATGGTTGTATATACGTTTAGTTGGTTTATTGACACGGTCGTTTTATTTCGAAAACGAGAAAATAAAAAGAAATTCATTAATCGGTACACGGTGATATATATTAGCATCGATGAATTGTTTGCATGTAATTAAATGCATTCGAAACTTGATAGGATTGAGTTTATATTACGAATTACGATTGAAAACTATATATATCCAACTCGTTTGGATTTATGCATGATATGTAGTTGCCCATCAATTTCTTTATCAGCATGCACACATTGCATATTGGAGTCCCATTATTACTTTCTTTGTTTGTCCTGTATTCTGTCACTTCACACGATCGAAAAAAAGAAAAGTAATTTCCAATACAACTTGATGCTATAACCTGTATAAGTGTATAGTAAATACCTTTTTTCTTGTAGTCAACTTAAGCATATAGGACCGGAGAACTCAACCAATTAACTCCAATATCGTGGAACTAGACTGATGATATGAAATATAAAGTGGATTTTGACACCTAAACGTTTGATGCACACATACTCTCGACAACACTAAAAACGGTAAAACTACAATATCTTATTACTACAGTCTACAGGTGATCCTATATACAATTAACAACAAAACAAAAAAGGAGTAATATAGGTTTTTTGAATATATTTATGAACATTCAACGATTTAAATTTAACAACTATCGAACCCGATTTGCATAGATTCCATGAGTATGATCACTAGCTTTGATCCCAGACAATTTTAATAAGATAAGAATAAGGATTTAGTACGAAATAATATAATATAGAACATGACTAAGGGGATTTGGGGGAAAAGAAAAGATAAAGGCTGGCTAAAAAGGGGAATGCATGGACCACGTTTTGGTGGTTCCCATAATCACACGAGTACTCTCGTCCATATATATTGTAATTAGGTAACATGTAGCTTTCGACTTTCCTATCGATTCAATACTTTGGGAAAGAAAATTCTGATAAAATATTATGTTGATTTTAATCATTTCATTTTCTAAACATATAGAAGAAACTACATTAACCGCATTCCTGGAAAATATGATTTGAGATTCAATAGATATAAGGATGAATAGTAAGCTTTTTTTTTTGTGTGGGCAAGATGAATAGTAAGCTAAACGTAGTAAGAGTAGCTATATATGTAAACTCATGTGCTTAGAGTTCAATTATAATTTGGAGAGAGGTATTATTATTTTTTAATTCATGTCCTAAAATTAGGTGAGTTTCATATCGTTTAGAAATAATATTTCGAAAGTAAAAAAGAAAAAAATAATACACAAAAGTGCATTTTATATTTAAAGAGAATCGTCATCATTAGCTAATGTTCCTAATGGTGTTTTATTTATTAGTTTTGCGCATTTCGAAATTTATGCCACTTCATTCGCAATCTTAGGCCATGTGCTTTGTTATAACCACACGAATATTTCTCAGATAATCGCTCTGATAATTTATAAAGTTGTTCATGTTTGACCGAAAAATAAAAACAATTGTTGCATATTATATCTAGACTCAATATCAAGACTTGAACTATTGGTTTGCAACTTCGCACAAGAGAACAACTTGTATGCTATCTCAATCATGTTGACATCCATTCCTATATGATTGTAGTTTAAGTTAAATTTAGACAATTTTTAACCATCTAATATCTTAGATTAAAGTATTAAAGTAACAACCGTTTTTAATTTTCTTGAGGACAAAAAATGTTAACGACCAACAACAAACTATAATATAAGGACATATCTGAATTCGAATTTAACTCTTTAACCAACGGTCAAATTTTTAGTTTTGTTCTTAATAACACTCCTAAAAATTTAGATGTCGATCCATATATATATATTATCATTCAACTATCCATGGATGACGTCGAAACATTAACTTTATCACTCAACTACTAAGATCATAATTAGTAGATGCTAATCTGATCAAGGACAACCAAAGAAACAATAAAAAAATTGGAAGAGGCAAATCTATTGGATAATGTGAATAGATTCGTGAGATGTATAAAAACCATGTGAAGATGAAACAGCAATGAATCGAGTCATCGACTTCAAACTTCTTAAAGCTAGCTTGCATTCATTGGATTCTTATTGGCTACCACATGCATCGCACCCTTTGCCATCTAATAATCTACTAGTATATATCCTAATCTTTGAGGATCTACAAAATTAAATTTGATGTGAATCTAATAATCAAAAAGATATTCTGCAACAACCCAAAAAAAAAAAACATATCTTTAAGTCCAAATAGGTTTGGAAACTCTTTGACTTTATTACTTATATCAATATACTTGTTTGACTCACAAATTCACACGTATATATAATGTATACACAATGTTACAATGATCCTATAGTATCCATAAGATTCGTAAAGTAGGAGAGATTGCTTAATGGTAAGTTATTTAAAATAGTTTATCAGTATTAGGTTGAATTAGTTAAAAATATTTCAAATTACGGTTAATCTAAATATATATATATATATATATATTTTGGTATTAAAACTAATAAATATAATGTAAAAAATGAAAAAGAAAAGTGGAGAGAAAAAGAGAGAGAGAGAGAGAGAGAGAGATAATGAAAAGGAAAGGAGAAAACATATCCTGAAAAGAAGGTAAGTTTGTCTGAAGAGAAGGGGGCACACAAGTAAGTGCTTTGTCAGATTTCGCGTGCCAAATTTTCTTTCTCTTCTTCTTCTTCTCTCTTTCTTTCATTCACAGTGTTTTTTGGATCCTTCCGCTCCTTTCTTTCTTTGATTTTCTCAATTTCAAAGAAGAAAAATATCGATTTTTATTAAACGAAAGGTCACTGTTTGATCGTCAAAGTAGAATCTTTTATCATCAACCTGATCTGGGTCGTGCTTAACTCTAAGAGAGGAAAGGCTTTCTGTTTTATAGCGCATTTTGCGTTCTTGGGTTTTTAAAGTCGAAGAAGAACAACAGCTCATACTTTTTTGATATTTTCTGGTTTCTGCGTGGCTTTTTCTTTATACACACAAAAAGAGAGATTTTAGATTGTTGTGGTAGTTTAAGAGAAGCTTCAAAGAAAACTGAAGCTTGCTTCTGAGAAAGACTTAAGCCAAAAAAGGTATACAATTTTTTGCTGTATTTTTCTTTGTATTGAAGTGTTGCAATTGAGGATCTTAGGGTTTTTAAAGAATCGAATCGATTCTTGATGTAGAAAGAACTCAACTTGTTGTTTTATAATTTTAGTCCTCTTGTACCAAAAACGATCTCTGCCACTAGTGTCATGTTTTGTTTTTGTTAGATTCTTTTTTAGCAAACATACAAAAAAGATTTGATTCATCTTGTCTATTGAATAAGTGGCAATCTTCAGTTTTTTCACTGTTTTTTTTTTTCTTGATTATTGCAGGTTTACTACTAAACGACGACGCTTTTGCAATCGCCACCACAAACCTACAAAAAGATTCAACCTTTGGATTCGTTTTACTTATGGAAGACTAAAAAAAAAAAAAGAGATAAAAAAAGAAAAGGGTTTCACATGTTTCTGTGTTTGTGAATGTGTGAAGCACTTAGAAAACAGAGAAAAAGAATTTGATTATTTTAAACAAAAAAGAGTTTATCTCTGTCTCTGTGTGTGTGTCAGTAAATTCGAGCTTTGAGTGGGTGTTTTGTGCATCTCTAAGTTTTTCTCTTTTATATAAAATTTTATTTCTTTTTTCAATGTTCTCTTTGAGATGTGAGATTGGTACTACTAGTGTGATCTCTCCTTAAGTGTGTAACTCAAGAAGCATTTTGGGGAGTGAAAACACAAGTTGAGTCTTTTTTTTCTTTCTGTGGTCTCTTCTTCTTCTTCTATCAGATTCTTCATCATGAAGTTCATGAAACTTGGATCCAAACCTGATTCGTTTCAGTCTGAAGGAGACAATGTTAGGTTTGTGTTCAAATCCTCATCTTTACCATTCTTTTTTAGGTTCTTGGTTATTACAATGTTGGTTTTGTCTGAAATCCAACTTAGATAACCAGCTTATAGATCTCAAAATGTCAAATTTGTCATCTTTGTTGTTGTTTCTTCTGACAGTTTACTTTGTTAATCTCTCTGTTCTTTAAGGTATGTATCAAGTGAGTTAGCAACAGATGTTATTGTCATCATCGGTGATGTCAAATTCTATCTTCACAAGGTACACATTTATAGAGAGATATTCAAATCTTTTGTTTATCTTTTTGTTGTGTTTTGATATGAAAGTTTGATTGATCAATCTTTTGTTATGTGTTTTGATATCTTCAGTTTCCGTTGCTGTCTAAAAGCGCGCGGTTGCAGAAACTAATCACAACATCAACATCATCATCAAATGAAGAGAACCAGATTCACCATCATGAAGATGAGATTGAAATAGCAGAGATTCCTGGTGGTCCTGCTTCATTTGAGATCTGTGCTAAATTCTGTTACGGAATGACGGTTACTCTTAACGCTTACAATGTAGTCGCTGCTCGCTGCGCCGCTGAGTTTCTTGAAATGTATGAAACCGTCGAAAAGGGGAATCTTGTTTACAAGATTGAAGTTTTCTTGAACTCAAGCATACTTCAAAGCTGGAAAGATTCGATCATCGTGCTTCAGACGACGAGAGCTCTGTCTCCATTCTCTGAAGAGATGAAGCTAACCGGGCGTTGTCTCGACTCGATCGCTTCTAGAGCTTCGATTGATACTTCGAAAGTCGAATGGTCTTATACTTACAGCAAGAAGAAGAATCTTGACAACGGAATGAGGAAACCGCAGGCGGTTCCTAGAGATTGGTGGGTTGAGGATCTTTGTGATCTTCATATTGATTTGTATAAACGAGCAATCTCTACAATCGAAGCACGAGGGAACATTTCAGCTGATGTTATCGGAGAAGCATTGCACGCGTATGCGATTAAAAGGATTCCAGGGTTCAGCAAAAGCAGTTCAGTACAGATCACTGACTTTGCGAAATACAGAGCTTTGGCTGATTCAATTATTGAGCTGATTCCTGATGAGAAACGCAGCGTTTCTTCGAGTTTCTTGACTAAGTTATTACGAGCTTCGGTCTTTCTTGGTTGTGATGAAGTAACCGGGTTAAAGAACAGAGTTGGTGAGCGGTTAGATGAGGCGAACTTAGGCGATGTTTTGCTCTATGATGTTGACCTGATGCAGAGCTTAGTTGAGGTTTTCTTGAAATCCCGGGACCCGAGAGAGGATGATTTAACCGTGAAAGCATCAGTTGCGAAACTTGTTGATGGTTATTTAGCTGAGAAATCAAGGGATTCCGATAATTTGTCTCTTCAGAAGTTCCTCTCACTCGCGGAAATGGTCTCGAGCTTTCCGAGACAGTCTCATGACGGAGTTTATCGCGCCATCGACATGTTTCTTAAGGTAAAAGAAACAACTCAGTCTAAACAAAGTTTTCATTTACATTTTTTCGGTATCAACTTGATATGGCTTTGGTTCAGATTTTCAACAAAGCATTGGTTTTTCGTCGATTTATTTGCCTTTCAGCCCGATTTTAAGATCATAAGATCGGATCGAACCCTTCATAGAAGTTAGAACTCATCTAATAAGATTTTTGTAAAATCAAGATTTGATCAAGTAACTAATCAAGATTTTGATATCCTGAAACTATCTGTCATTCAGGAACATCCAGAGATGAACAAGAGCGAGAAGAAGAGAATGTGCAGGCTAATGGACTGCCGAAAACTATCAGCAGAAGCCTGCGCTCACGCGGTTCAAAACGAGCGATTACCAATGCGTGTGGTGGTGCAAGTTCTCTTCTTCGAACAAGTAAGAGCCAACAACAACGGTTCATCATCAACCGGAAACAGCACCCCAGAGGTTATTCCGGCTTCAAGATCAACAAACACTACCGATCAAGAAGACACAGAGTGTTGGGACACAGATGATATCAAAGCTTTGAGAGGTGAGTTAGCAAATCTAAGACTCGCAAAGAATCAACAAGAGAACAATAACAAAGGCAAACTGATAAAAGGAGGAGGATTAGGAGTTTCTAGAGTGTTTTCGAAGCTTTGGTCTGGTAAAGAGAGAAGTGGAGATATGATAAGTAGCTCAGGGACTTCAAGTCCTGGTTCTGTTAATGATGATTCCAAGTCTTCTTCTTCCACAAGCAAGAAGCATTAGCAGGAGAAGCAAGGAAAAGAAGAATTAGGTTTGCGAAAATGTTCATCCTATTACTAACTTTTCTCTCTTTAGATCCAATTTCTCAGTTGTTACCATTTTCTTTCCTTTGTGGTTTTGTTCTTCCTTAGTAGGTAATGGTTTATTTTTTTCTGCTTTGTTGTCACTTGTTACCTTAATATGGAAGTGTTTAAAAACAAAACAAAAATGGTTCTTGAATAATAACAAGGAGAAATTTAGATTCAGTAGTAACTTTTGAATTTTAATTTTCAAATATAGTGTTTTATGACTATCCATTAGATTTAACCTAATTTATCCGAAAAATGCTTTGCAAAACCTTTATTAATAACTACAATTATTTTTCAAAATACATTAAAACTTTTTAAAATTTTTTTTTGTCAAAATCTTGATGAACAGCGCCAAAAATTTTAGAAGATTAATTTGTTAATTTGGACTTCCGTACGGATAGTATCGAGACTTCTATAAGACTGGACTACGGCCCAAGTCGATATTCCATATCTCTCTCATAGACTTTTTGACAACGGTACTCTTCTTTCTTTTTTTATTGAGGAAATCTAAAATAACGATTTTTTTTAATTAATTACGAGATTTTGCCATTTTTTATAATGTCATTTGTGAATTTTACTATTTTTTAAATAGTTTATAAATTTTGCTATTTTTCAGACTCCAAAAATATGATTGAACATGCGTTTCAATCATTATGTTTGAGTTTAGTCAGTTCTATTTGTTTTTAAGGTTTAGTATTTGGCATAAAGTATGTATATTTGCCAAAAGATCATAAATACATATAATTTTTAAATGTTAAAAAATGGCAAAATCCGTAAACTATTCCAAAAATGGTATTTTCGTAAGTTTTTCCAAAATAATGGTATTTTAGATAATAATCCTTTTTTTATATGGAAACTCCGTAAAAATTTGGATAAATGACAAATGCAGCACGCTTTTAACCGTCTTTGAATTAAAATGAGGAGAGAATTTAACAAGTTTCGTCGGAGAAACCATAATTTAGACCGACAAAAAATGATACTTTAAATTGACTTGCCCACCGTCATTGTGCAGAAAATCTTCTTCGTCGTTTTCTCTTCTTTAAATTAAAAAATAAAAGAGTTAAAAATATTGAAATAGCTTCACTAATGTTACATCATTTTCCTTACGGACGCACTCGCATAATGAATATTCCATTCGAATAAATATATATCACGCCCGGATTTTTGTGGGGGATGGATGAGAATGTGATGTTTGGGTGTTGAACACGCCCACAATTTCTATGAATTCATAAATAATATTTCTCATCTTTTATGCAAATATTGATTGATTTTAACGTTTAATTACAGACGTTATTATTATCCTAGTGCTTTTGTGGCCTCACGTCTATATATATACGGATCGTTGATTTAATTCAGAAGAAATTACCAGTCTCAATATGTTGCATTAAATCTACTTGTGAGCTTTATGTATATGTGCTTTAGGATCCTTGCGAATCACATGATCGTCTACTTGAGAACTCCGTGAAGAGTATCACCTAACTTCCATTAGTTTTTCCTTTTATTAGCTAAAACAATTAAAAGTATATGTCCGTGAACCACAAGATGTTCCGCAACTAATCTTCTTCGTTGCCTGTTACACATCCTTACATGTATTGGCAACAAATGCAAATGTAATTAAAAAACTCACGACACTAAAAGCCAAACCTACGGTCAACATACACACACATGTATACCAATCGTTATAACATAAATGATAAATCTAATCCACAAGCACAAAGTATCACTCCTCGATCGAAGTTATCCACATGTCTTATTATGTGATGGTCAAGACCTTATAGCATAAACAATTTCCCTGACTCGACCGGTGCTCTCGACTCGACAATACCTCTTTCGGACAAGGACACGTTCTCAAACCCGATTCAAATGTTTCATCATGATATAGCTTTGCTACCGCAAACCAACAAAAGAAACATATAAATCTATCAGTTGAACATCTTTGGGACCATATTTGGAGAAAAAGTGTGGTCCATAACATTGATATTCATGTCATTTACACGTAAGATTAGCGATATCAAAAGGTGTTTTTATTCTCCTATCTCTATCAATGATCAAACTCGAATTAGCAAAGTACTAAGAACCAAAATCTCCCACCTAAAAAGTACTACTAAACTAACATACATCATATTTTATTTACTCTTATGAAAATATGCCTCTTTCTCTTAGTTTATAGCTATTGGTAACATCTTCTCTCATTGTCATAATTGTTCGTTTATCTCCAAATTATCGTCTTAACAGAGACACATTACATCATTCTATTTAAAAATAATAATCAGGTCGGCGGTTTTAGTTTGGCCAGAGAAAAAGTATCTTAAAAAGCTAGATCCATTTACAAGACAAGAAGACACAAACCCAAAAGTAGGAGATATTGCCTCTTACCACTAATTTAACACCCACAAAAACAAAAACAAGAAAAGCAAAAAAGATTACCAAGGAAAATATCAAAATGTTTAATTCTAAAACTTAAAGACCCTAATAACAGGATCTAAAGTCTAATAACTTATAAGAAAAAAAAAAAGTTTAAAATTCTCTAGGGTCTACAAAAATTGAAAGGCCAGGTGGCGATTTAGTCCAATCACCAACAACACCATCACTATAATCATCGCCAAGCCGTTTAATACACCAAAGATCCTCGGCACACGATAACACTTTCCAATGTGGTATCCCTCGCCGTAACGGCTCTTCTCCGGCAACTTCCGCCGCCACAACACCACAACCTCCTTCTTTAGCCAAGTTATGCGCGTGAGCACACAACGATTTCACCATCTTCACCGCGCGTGGACCTTCTCCTCCAATTCCATACATAAAGTGAAGCCCAAAAGGCTCAAAAACAGATGGTATCGAAGGGAGTTTCAAAAACGGCAACGTTTTATCAACCACTCGCGTCGTTTTAGCCACCACGCGTCTTAATCTCGACGCGCCACGTACCTCTAACCGAAACGAGTCTTTACAATTCCACACGCTTAATACGGCCCAAGACTCGGGCGGGTATTCGAGGAATTTAGCCGAACCGGGCCATGAACCAGACCCGGATCCATAACAGCTTCCACGTGGCACTGCTACGAATGTCCCGAGCGAGAGTTTGTTATTGAGAACAGAATCAATATCCCGCGGGAAAAACTCTGTTGTGCTAAACCGGATTCGGTACAACGTCTCAGCATCAACCGGGTCTAGTTTAATAACCGTGACTCGCCGAGAGACATTAACTCGATGAGCGTAAACCGGATTAACCAAAATCGACGGCGTACGAAACTCAGAATAACCACATTTTCCGGTGAACAAATTCACAGAAGCTTGATTATCGTTCTCAGTAGCAATATACGAATATTCAGCACCGTTTTGTCTAAACCATTCCTCCATCATCTTCACGAGCTTAAACCCAATCCCTTGTCTCCTGCAAAAAAAAAAAAAAACAAAACTAGTTTAGTAATAAACCAAAAATCTCTAATAATTGCGTGATTAGTAGTGAGAGGAAAACGGAACGGTACCTGTGGAAAGGAGAGACACGAAGGCCCAAAACGTAAGCGAGTTTAGTGTAAAGAGGCTTAACGACGTCGTTTTGGGATTTAGTATGATTTAAATCGAGTTTTTTGCCACATGTAACGGTTTTGATACATCCTCTAATCATGCCCACTATCTCCTTCTTCTCCGTACCCATCTCAGCCACCTGTTACAATCCCATCATTTCATTTTTCCGTTATTATTTTTTTTTTTAAAACTTTTTTTGTTAGTTACTCGCGTATCATTTGGTTGCAAAAAAATAATATAAATGATGAGACTTTTGATCTTATCAAGAATCGGAAAAAAATAGAAATGATACCAAAAAGATAACCAACTTTAAATTGACTATGGAAAATTGATTTTTTGGATTAACGAAAGGTTGAGAAGTTGGTGTTCTCTGTCTTTTTTTCTACTTCTAGGCTCATAAAACAGAGTTGTTGAAGAGAGACATAAGTAAAAGAAGAATAAAGATTTGTGGAATTTGTTATTACCAACATGAGATAGGAAGGTGAATGTCGGATCCTACAAATCGGGTCACCCAAAAGGTCGGTGAATAGAGAAAGCTTGCCGCTTGGTCCGACCTCACACCGTCGCTCCACGTCCTCCACGCCGGCTAAGTCTCGGCTCGGGTCGTACTCTCTAACCACCGTCATGTTTGTTTCTTTAAGAGAAAGATAGAGAGATAACAAAAACAGAGTAAAGAGAAAGAGAGAGAGAGATAGATTAGAGTTAGAAGAAGAGTGAAGTAGATAGGGTTTAATATATAGAGAGGAAGGTGAGTGTGGAAATGAGAGAAGTGAGGAAGATTTATTCGGGAGGATAGAGAAGCATTTATAGAAACTCTATATATAACGTGAGGTATAAGTAAAGAACAGAGAAGCTATGAGTTTATAGGATTTGGATTTTAAAGGAAAGAGAAATAGACTTTTTTTTTTTCCCGGCTACTTTTTTATTTATGATGAGTTTTAAAAGTAGGAGAAGGCGAGGAGTAGTTCATGATTGAAAGAGGAGGTTTAAAGTTCTTCTCAATCCTCTATTTATTATAGTCTCTACAGTTTCCATTCTTTTTTTTTTATAATATACTAATATAAATATTAGCTAGTTCTAAATGATAAGGTCATCTAACCAGATTTTAACTGATAATTGAAGGGTTTTTTTTTGTTTTTTTTTTTTTTTGTTTAGGGAAGTAGACAATTAACCTCCCCAGTATGATATTCGATTGGTAATCATAACCTTAGTAAAACAGTAAAGAAGAAAATAAAATTTGGTTTAAACGGGTAAGAAAATTTGTTCACAAACCAATCCTTGTCTATGATCTCATACTTTTGTTTGTTTCGAGTCCGTAGATCTCACTTTTGTCAAGCTACTTCGTTTGCTGTCTAGGAAGTTAAAGGGATCGGTTATATATATATATGCTCTCACACTTTTTAGTTTACTTACAAATTACTAACTAAAAAATACGAAGACAATATATCGGATATACATACTCTCTATGTTTTATAAAGAATGTCATTCTATCATTTTTTACACAAATTAGAAAAAATAAACAAATTTCATTTTTATCTTTATTAATATATTAAATAATATCCTCTTTCTAATTAATAAGCTAAAATCGTAGGGATAAAAAAGAGAACTAATCTTTAAAACTGCATTGAAAACACAAAACGACTCTCTTTATGAAATGAGATTAAAACCTTAAAACGACACTATTTATAAAACGGATGGAGTATATACTCTTGCATACAATAAATATGAAATTAAATCTCTCATAATTATAGACATTTAATTTTTTTTTAGTAAATTTTGAAAAATAGTGGGTTGGATATATTAATGATGAGTAGAGAGATTAATGGGTGATTAAGACGAGCATTGATGTGGAAAACTTGCCCAAAAGGAGAAGTTGTAAGTGGGAGTGAGAAGTTGAAAATGGCGGCTATGTCTGCGTTAACTCATTATTATTATGGTTTCTTTCTTTCTTTTTTGGTTTTTCTCTTGTTGTATTTATTTCCCTTTCTAGTTCCTCCTTTGCCCATAAATTCACACTTATTAATTCATGACTCTGATGCATTGCACCATCCCCCAAGTAATCATTTGCTCTCAACCCCATCTGTAAAACTACAATTACTCCATTAACTGTCTATCTACCAAATTACTCGTAAATGTACCGTATATCTAATTTTGCAAGAGGAAAAAACAGTAACGTAAAAATAAGAGTTAAAAGAGAAAAAGAAAATTGTGTATAATTAGTTTTCGCTTTACAATGTAAAATATTTTATTGAAAAATTCTGATAAAACATCTTACTAAAATTAACTGCAAATATGTTCAAACACTAGTAGGCTAAAAAGAAACGAAGGAATCCATTTAGAGGAAGAAAACAAATTCCTAAAGGTCATGTCTATCGTATTCTTATTTTAAGGGTAGTTTAGTCCTGCAACACATGATGATGTATATGACAAATGATTATCATATATATGTACGCATTCTTTAATATACTCCACTTAGATTTGATTATGTGAAGCATCGTCACTATAATCACCAATTATAAAGAAAAACAAAACACTTCAATTCAATACTGAAAAGCCGAAAGAAATATCAACCGTCAGATATTTTTGTAGTTTTTCTTCTTTTTTGCTATAGTTTATAAATTTCTAGGATGCATCATTGCGATACGTAACAACTAACAACAATTCTAACCGTATAACTTCTAATTTTTTTTTTCAACTGTATAAACTTTAGATAACTTTTCATTGTAAATTATAGCTTTTATATAAAGCCGTATAATCAATTAGTTAGAAATTTTTGTTTTATTGTACAATAAATTCAAATAAACATAATGTTTGTTGACAAAAAAAACCATGGTTCAGTGGTAGTTGAAAATTGGGGAAAAATTTGAAGGACCAAACCTAATTCGATCTACGTTGGAAACAAAAAGCACATCTGTGTGGAAAGTCTGGGTTTAGGCCAAATACTCAAACAGTTTATCTGTTAGTCCGGTAACAGGCGATTTGGGTACCCCTGATATTAGTCGGAAAGCATTCCAAACTCAAGATAAATAGTGTGGTGGCCATTCAGGGAGAAGTCCACTCTGAAATACTTCAGTACGTTTCTACCGGGACTGACCGGATAAGCCGATAAGGTTTATAAAAAAAAAAAAACCATGTTCACTGGTGTAATTTGGAAACAATAAGCCTCAAATGATCTTTTCGCGTCAGCATACTTCTCGAAGAACAATTTTTTTTTTTTTTTTTTTTACTATTTATAAAAAAAAAGGAACAATTTTATAAATAGTTCCACTTGATATTTGATTGTGTTGTAAGTGGAAACTAAGCAAGAAACACCACCACACGCACAGAAATTAAACAAATCATAAACAGAAAAATAAACGGCACACTTGACGTGGCCCGTCAAAATATATAACATATAGTTCAGGTTGGTAGGTGATTAATTTTGTACTGATTATGACATTGTCAAGCACTATGTATATTTCAAGAATTAAAATTTTCAACATGGAATTATCATAGTCTAGTTGAGCCGTGTACAACACAATGGGTCATTATTAATTCTAACTAGTAGTTAGGAACATACAATCTGATTAAACCAATTCAGATGTATCAAATTGGATTGAATCTATACAAAAAAATGTCGATATAAAATTGAACGTAAAGAGAGTAAACTGATTCAAACAAAGATATATATTCACTCTGTTTTTTCTTTTCGACATCGGCACTCAAATTCAGGATTTGGTCCACTTTCTCCTATAATGACATAATGTTTTTTTAGTGTAATCGGTTGAACTATCAACGATTATCATTATTTGATTGAAACATGTATTTTGTAAGTTTATATCTGAAAAATCGTGGTCAATAAACAGTGCTTAACTTAAGTAGACACCAATATAGTGATGATGTTTTAGTTGGTTACATAAAATAATGGGAAAACGACCTGTGTCCCCCTAGTAAGTTTCACATAGTATCACAACTACACCGAATTCGGATCTCGATCGCTGTCCACACAGATTAAAAGTTACACTCATGTGTCCCCCCAAATCAAAACTTCAAGACCGCCATCTCCAAAATTTTGATTTTCGTGGTTTATACTTGGTTTACTGTACCCAAACCACCATTAACCGCGTAACAAAGAAAATAAACCGGATTTACCCATAAACCAACCCGATTACAACCCGATTACAACCCGAGAATTTAAAACCCCCAATTCTCAAAATCCCCAATTCCCAGAATCCCTAATTCTAAGAACCTAAGAACCCTAGAAACTCAGAAAACTCAAATTGGAGATTTCAACTGATGGATTCAAATGAGTTGGAGCCGCCGTCGTCTGATGTTGTCGTTCATCACCAGCCTTCCGAGTCTGTTCCGCAAGCAGAAGAAGGAGAAGGAAATCCAGAACCAGACATTGAACCCGACGATGAAGACCCACTAGAGCGAGACCAGTTTGAAATCGAGAAGGCATTTACGGAGTTTAGAGACGAGCCTTCGATTATTCACGACGAGTATCCGGATAGTGACAGTGATGAAGATGACGAAGGTGCTCGGGGGAGAAAGCGTGACAACATCAGCCGTGGAGTTGGGAATCTGTACTATCACCAGACATTCTTCAACAGCATTGCGTTTAAGGAAGCTGTACTCGACCATGCCTTGAAGACAGGATGCAACATTGCACAATACAGGTATGATCAAGATAAGATTGCCTTTAAGTGTGATGGGGATGGATGTATCTGGCGGATCTATTGTTCTATCACTAAGAAATGTCGAAAGTGGAGGGTTAACGTGTTCAAGGATGTTCATACATGTAATCCGAATGGAGATTGTGAGATGCTGAAGGTTCCTGTCATTGCTAGGTTGTTTTTAGATAAAATTAGAGAGGAACCTGAGTACTTTTTGCCTAAGAAGATTGAACAAACCATTAAAGAAAAGTGGAAGATCACTGTATCTAGGCCTCAATGTCAAGCTGCAAGGAGAAAAGCATTGAGTTGGATTGAGAGAGAATATGATGAGCAGTTTGCAAGGCTCCAAGATTATGCGGCAGAGATACGAGAATCAAATCCAGAATCGACTGTTGCAGTTGAAACTGTGACTAATGATGCAGGACAAGAGGAGTTCAACAGGTTCTATGTATGCTTCCATGCGATTAAAAAAACTTGGATAGAGTCTTGTAGGCCATTGATAGGAGTAGATGGAACTTTTATAAAAGGGAAAGTTAAGGGGCAGTTGCTGGTTGCTTTAGGTAGAGATGCAAACAATCGGATATATCCAATAGCCTGGGGATGTGTACAAGTAGAAAACATAGATAATTGGGTGTGGTTTGTTGAAAACCTGAAGTCTGACTTGGGACTGATGGATGGTGATGGTTATATCATTGTTTCTGATCGCCAAAAGGTATTAACCATTCTGATTTTGAGTTTAGTTATTCATGTTGTTGTTGTGGCCACACAAAGTGCTTAATAACCTCTTGTTTGTATTTTGCAGGGTCTAATCCGAGCTGTGGAGCTAGAGCTGCCAAAGGCTGAACATAGAATGTGTGTCAGACACATCTATGGAAACTTGAAGAAAAACCATGGCAAAGATAAAGAGATGAAGATGTATGTTTGGGATTTGGCATGGAGCTACAATGAGAGTGCTTATGAAGCAAACCTGACAAGACTTTACAACTATAATGTGGCTGTCTGGCGTGATGTTGTCAAGTCAAAACCAAGAACTTGGTGTAGGGCGTTTTACAAGCAAGGAAACTTCTGTGAAGATGTTGAGAATAACTCAACTGAGTCATTCAACAACTCAATTGTGAAAGCTAGGGACAAACCGTTTGTGCCAATGCTTGAGACCATCAGGAGACTTGCAATGGTCAGGATTGCCACAAGAGCTGCTGAATCTCATGAGCACAAAGGGAGATGCACACCATATGTTAGTAAGTTTCTTGCCAAAGAATTTGAGAAAGCTTCAGAGATGACTATAAGAAGAAGCACTAATGACATGTATGAAGCTACCAGAGGATTAGATACTCATAGAATAAGCTTGACTGAGAGGACATGCACTTGTCAGAAATGGCAAATCTGTGGCATTCCTTGTGAGCATGTTTATGGAGTCCTGCTAGACAAAAAGCTTGAAGTTGAGGACTATGTGTGTCACTGGTTTAGGACACCTATGTGGAAGAAGAATTACACAGACGGCATATTTCCACAGAGAGGACCAGCTTATTGGCCTTCAACAGAGCACCCTAATGTGCATGTACCACCACCACCACCGCAGCCTGGGAGAAAGAAAGGAAAGGAGAGTAAGAAGGATAAGAAGAGGAAAAAGGGAAAGTATGAATCTCCTACCAAGAAGGCACCAAAACAGATGAAAAGGGTAATGCACTGTGGTGTTTGTGGTGCAGCTGGCCACAACTCAAGGTTTCACAGGAAGAAGTCTTCTGCACAGGTTAGCAACATAATAGTTAGTTATATGCACTGTCATTTGCTCTGTTTTATAGTTAGTTACTGACTCCTGTTTTGTCTTATAATGTGTCTTAGACCTTTGAAGGAGTGTCTGCAGCAGTCCCTGCCATTCAAGGCACTCAAGGCAGTCAACTGGAATCGTCTCAAGGAGTTGTGATGTCTCAAGGATGAAGGATTGGCTTCATTGGAAATATTAGAGAATTAGGTGTTAGATGGGTTTAGTTTTTGTTTTCCATCTGATTTAGACTTAACGGCTATGTAACTTTTGTTCTCCATCTGATTTAGACTTTTCGGCTTTGTAATTTTTGTTCTCAGACATGCTTGAACCAGTTTAATCATTTAAGGATTTTGTTGTTCTCAGTTTTGTCCAATTTTTTCCTCAGAAATTTTTGTTCTCCATCTGATTTAGACATAACAAAACAACAACAAATGTGCCCAACAAGCAAAAGACTCCAAATTTCGTTTTCATTACACAAACATGATCATGCTTGATACAAACAGACAACAAGCACAACAATTCCAAGACAAGAAAACAACAACAAAAACAGAGACCTACCAACAACAACAACAAACCACACCCAATCGTCTCAACCTATCACTTTACTCAAACCAAGCATGCGCATACAACCTACAATGACAGCAATCGACATTTTCTTCATGCTTGATTTGGATTCCAAGAGTTCTTCTTCAACCCTCTCCAAAATCTCTTCCTCTATCTTCAATTGCATCCTCTCAAAAACCATCTTCTGCTGATCCATAGTCGCTGTTGTAATCTGGGACATGCTTTGTTCAAGTGCAGCAGTTCTTACAGACAATCTCTCTATCTCATCTAACAATGCTTCGTCAACCCACTTGAAAGTGTGGTTATCATCGATAAGCTACAGAGAACAGAGAAATCAACTCAAAATTTGATACAAACAATCCAAATCTCAATCACATTACCTTATGCGATGCAGCGTAAGCACAACGATAGTAACGGCGGTACGGATTGGCAGTGGACTTTGAAATGATCGCCGAGATACTAGCACCACACCAACACATCTTTGGCACACCCGCAATTCTTCTTCTTTGTCCGACATTTGATGCTCCACTCGTAGCTCCGGATGAATTGCTCATATTCGAGCTCAGTACTATGTTTAAAATTGAAATCGAAGCTGATGAAGAGGAAAAATCGAAACTAGGGTTCTTAGGTTCTTAGAATTAGGGATTCTGGGAATTGTGGATTTTGAGAATTGGGGGTTTTAAATTCTCGGGTTGTAATCGGGTTGTAATCGGGTTGGTTTATGGGTAAATCCGGTTTATTTTCTTTGTTACGCGGTTAATGGTGGTTTGGGTACAGTAAACCAAGTATAAACCACGAAAATCAAAATTTTGGAGATGGCGGTCTTGAAGTTTTGATTTGGGGGGACACATGAGTGTAACTTTTAATCTGTGTGGACAGCGATCGAGATCCGAATTCGGTGTAGTTGTGATACTATGTGAAACTTACTAGGGGGACACAGATCGTTTTCCCTAAAATAATCAATGTGCTTACCAATAAATGTAATATATATTCAAAAAGAGTTTGGCCAAACAAGATTACAAAAGCTAAAGTATAAAGAGAAATCCTGTTGTTAACAACTAAAAAGAAATTTATAAGCTTAATGAAGATCCAAAAATTAAATAATAGTATAAACGAAGAGCATGGTTAATTAGCCAGTTTTTAATTTTTTCCTATCACTTTTATATAAACGTGTTTTACTTTTAACGAGTAATATTGTTAATTTGGTTTGTCACTGTTGTATTTTCGGTGTTTGCTAAGTAATACTCTCTCCGTTTCGTTTTAGTTGTTGTTTTAGGACTTAAATTTTGTTTCGTAATAGTTGTCGTTTTAGGTTTTCAATGCAAATGTTTGGTAAATTTCCAGTATTAACTCTATTGTTTTAATGTTTTGGCCAATGAAAAAATTTATAAGATATATTAATAAAGGGTAAAACAAAAAATTTAATATTTTTCTTAATTTATGTGAAAAAACTTAAACGACAACTAAAAGGAAACGGAGGGAGTACTCCTTTTGTTTTTTGAGTGTTTTTCTTCTTTTTAAAAAATTGATTTTTAGACTCTAATTAATACATTTCCTTTTGCTAGGTAATTAATGACAAGTAGATAACTACATCTTATTGGTCTATTATTAAAATGGTTTTCATAATATATAATATAATTAATAAAAGTTTTTTGAATATAGGGTTATTTGTAAAATAAATAATCATAAAAAGTTAACATTAAATATTTTTTTAATATGTCTGATAAACTTAGAATATCAATCTATTAAAAACGGAAGGAATAATTCTTACCGCTTTTACTAAAAAAAATAGATAAAAATAATTCTAGCTCCTTTTTTTAAGCTTAGCTATTCAGCAAATTAAATTAGACGACAAATAATAGCTCTTCATCAGAATTATTATCAAAAGTATAATTATGATAAAAAAAATCTTACGTAATTGAATATATATTCTTAAATATAATAACAAAAGTACATTATATGATATTTAATCTCGCTTGTTGTCTTTACTAAACAATAAATGTCTCTAACAATGATAAGATTGTTTTTTACTTGAAAGGTCACCAAGAAATAAAACGGGAAAAATGTCATTTAATTTCTCAACTTTTAAATTGTGGTCATTTGAGACATCAACTTTATGTGTGGCTATTTTAAACATGAACTAAACGTTGACTAACGTTGGAGACATAAAAATTCGTTGACCAGGCCAAAATTAGACATGTCGTTATTAGTCATTAACGGAACTTCTAACGGGCGTTATCAACCCTAACGATTCTGTTAGTCAACTTTCAAATTGTGGCTATTTTAAACATCAACTTCATATGTGGTCATTTAAAACATGAACTAAACGTTGACTAACATTTGAGACATGAGAATTCGTTGACTAGACCAAAATAGACATGCTGTCATAAGTCGCTAAAAGAACCTATAACATCCGTTAACGACTCTGTTAGTATGCCCGAAACGATTTTGTTTTGAGGATAATCGAGAAGGAAATCAGGATTTTTTCCAAATAAAAACCCCAAATCCTCAAATCTATTTCTACAATAGTCCAAGCAAGACGAACAATCCTATTATCTCCATCTCTTTCAACTGCAGCTAGAAAGTGACCTTTTATTTTCCGATTCGAAAAAGCTTCATTTAGCTCTATGATGGGTCTACAAGTTTGCTTCCAAGATTTCTTTTAAGATTAAAAACATATATATAAACGAAAAATTTATATTTGCTTCCAATTACTGGCTCTGCGATTGTCTCTATATCAAACTATGTTCTTGGATTTTGCTTTAAAACAAACTTTTTGATTTAGAGATTTCATTTCGGAAAAATCATGATTTCTTCTAGAGTATCGTCAAAACGACGTCCTTTTTGGGCATACTAACAGAGTTGTTAACAAGTAATAACGGATGGTATAGGTTATTTTAACGACTAATGACGTTATGTCTATTTTGGTCTGGTCAACGAATTCTCATGTCTCAAATGTTAGTCATCGTTTAGTTCGTGTTTTAAATGGCCACATATGAAGTTAATGTTTAAAATGACCACAATTTGAAAGTTGACTAACAGAATCGTTAAGGGTAATAATGGCCGTTAGAGGTTCCGTCAACGACTGATATCGGCATGTCTATTTTGGCCTAGTCAACGAATTTTTATGTCTCAAACGTTAATCAACGTTTAGTTCATATTTTAAATGGCTATATATGAAATTGATGACTCAAAAGGCTACAATTTGAAAGTTGGGAGATTGACATTTTTCTCGAAATAAAACTCTAACTACTACCATTCGTCTCTTCGGCCAATTTTTTTTTCGAAATAAGAAAATCCAATCGTCTTTTCATAGAATTTTAAGCTCAGCGAGTAAAAAATTAAAATATAGGAATATCCACTCATTATTTAAAGGATGGAGAGCTATAAAAGAGAGCATTTTTTTGTCCTGGGTTTCTATTTCAATATTGGAAGTTTAGAGACTCATAATAGCTACCAATAACTTTGTCCGTTTGTCGTGATAATATATCATTTTCTTTACGTCGTTTTGGTAACTTAATTATAGCATTTTCGTTTTCGATTTTGACAAAAGTGCTTACGTTATGACATATTGTCATTTATCATAAGACATATCTAACGGTGCGTAATTTCAGGCATTTGTTTCCATCTTACCATACGTAATTACATTATATGATAATAATATCATACACACACATAAATATATATATATATATATATATTTGATATATGATAATAATATATATATATATATATGTATATATATCATACTTTCTTATGTCTGGTTACAAAATCTAGATGATTTGTCACGTTGGTTGAAAGAATTTTTTTATATTATGCGTATGATTAAGGAACGATGTGGGTCGTTTAAACATGTACTATATGTATTACAACCATATCGTATGACTAAAAGTGTCCAGTAATTAGCAGACAAATTATTGTCTTTTTGGTCAAGATTGACTTGTCTACAATTCAATACGTACCATAATATCTATATATACATTTTTGGATGACTTTTAGTAAATAAATCCTGGAGTTGGAATGTATTTACGGATGAATGCTATTGACATTAATTATTTAAATTTGAAAAATATTAATTAAAGATATTACCAACACGATTTCGAGAATCATAAATTCATATCTTCCTTAATTTTCTGAGTCATTAATGTGATAATCTTTAAGAAATATTTCTCTCTAAAAAAAAAATCCACATTAATGAAGGCATTAAAATCGACACTAACAATTAAATTATTTAGATATTCAATTATTTTAAGATTCTTATATCTTATTTGATATTTTTTTTTAATATCTCATTCTTTAATTACTGCGTTTAGAATTTATTGGTTGTTACCTATTTTTTGGTGAAATTTATTGGTTGTTACTTAATAAGTAATTATGGTGCGTTTATTTTAGTTAATATCTAATTTAAAGGATTTGTTTTCTTTATTATTAATAAACGAATAACATGTATAGAAATAAAAGATTTTTCTTGCGACTCCATAATAAAAATATTAAACTCTTTTTTTCTACATTTCTTACACATAATATCCTCTTATTCAATAACAAAAAATATATATTGCATATTTTTAAAAATATTTATAATATTTAAATTATATAAAAAGTTTGTAAT